TTGTCATTCTTATCATATACTACACCGCACTTTGCACTTTGAAGCCATCGTTTCACTATGTAATTGTCTGGCAAGTGCTCCACCTGCTTCATTCTTAAAAATACTAGGATGTGTCGGCACGAAATACCCCAAAATTCAAATTCTTTGCAGCTGCAATAAGCTTTATCGGCATCTTTATCATGCACAAGCTCCTTCATCCGTGTCACCCCCGGATTTACCCACTCACTTACTTTGTACATGCACTGGGTCTCATCTTGCTCTACAAGTTCGAACAAGCATAAAAGGCTTCGAAAGTCTTCCCTCTCAAACATTTCAAGAATTTCCCAAGTGTAAATGCGTGCCATTTGATGTTGCATTGGTGTTCGAAATGGCAGTGGAGGTTTTTCATTGGTATCAACATGATCAGCCATTAACTCCTTGCGCCTCTGTGAACCAAGAGCTCTTTCAAAACGTACAATGAATTCCATCAATGTGTTTTTCCGATTAATATATTGTTTGAAAAATGCATGACAGCTTTCAGCCCGTTGACTACTTGACATCCCAACCGAAAACACATGTTTTACATATGATGGAACCCAATTCTCCCGCAAAGCATGAATCAAGCTCAACCACGGATGGTCTTTCAGCCCATTGCTTGTGACGATTTCATCCCATTTCGCATCAAATTCTTCTTTCGTGTCCATACCCCATATGCATTTGCACATTTCCGAAAAATATTCCCCAATGCCGGGTTTCTCCATAAACTTATTCAAGATATGCCATATGCAATATCTATGGAATGTTGTTGGGAGAGTTAAAAAAATTTCCTTTGACATGGCTGCATCTTGATCAGTGATGAATCTGTGGTTTCACTAGTTAGGAATGCACAACCAAACAACACTGTCTGCCTATGGTTATTAACGCCTAACAAAGGCGCAAAGACCATCCCATAGCAGTTCGTGTTGAACGTCGTATCAAATACCACCACATCCCCAAAAAACCCATATGCTCGTCTTGACCTTGCATCTGCCTAGAAAATATTTCCCATTGATCGGTGCATATTTACATATCATTTTGTACCCTTCTAGCTTATGATTTGGTTATGTTTTTGAGTTAAACTTGTGCTTTTAATCCTTTTTGTGTTTATCTTTCAGTTCATTGAGCTTTAGGTAATAATGAGGGCTTTGGATAGTAAATGATGCAATCCATGCATGTTAGGGCCTAATTTGGATGAATGGATGAAGAGCTTAAAGACAAACTCAATTTTGGCTACAGTCCCCTGCCAGCCCAGTTTCGTAGGTCATATTGCAAGCTTTGTTTCAGCAACCTACATAGCTCGGATGAGGCCACATTCTTCATGAAAGTTGTTCCAATGGGTGTGTAATATAACATATCCAAAA